CACCGCTCGTGCTGAGGAAGACGGGGGAAAAGGTCGACGCGAGGCCCTCCACGCCCTCGGAGCCCTCCTCGACCTGCTGCAGGGTGGGCGCCTCGTAGCTGCCCACGTAGTCCACCGGCTTCTTCGCGCCGGCTCCGACGGTGGACTCTCGGATCAGCTTGGCCAGGTCCAGCCTGGGGTCCGACAGCGGCGCGTGGCCCGCGCCTGGCAGCCGGATCAGCTCCGCGCGGCCACCGCAGCGCGCCCGCAGCAGGGGCAGAAGGCGCTCGCCCTCGGCCCGCGAGGGCAGGAGGAGGTCATCCTGCGAGCAGACGAACAGGGTGGGCGGCAGCGTCCCCAGGCGCGCAGCCCTGGTCCGCAGGTCGCTCTCCACGCTCTCGCACCCGTCTCGCAGCCAGGCGCGCAGCCGGAAGCGCACCGTGGCCCGCGGCAGCACGCGGGCGAGCGCCTCCGGGAACTTCAGGAAGGCCTGCAGGGCCGCGCTGGGTGCCGAGCTCGGCGCGGCCCACTCGTCGACGACGGCGGCCGCCGCCATCGAGGCTATCCTGCGGGCCTGGGCGCCGCTCAGCGTCGACCCCATCAGCACGGTGCCCCCCATGTACGCGTAGGGCTGGCTGACGGCTCGCTCCTGGCGCTGCCAGAAGATGTCCAGACTTCCGGCCACGGGCTCGTGTCCCGGGGGCTCGGGGGACATGGATCACTGCCCGCCCGCGCGGGCGGGCATGTATCCATATCTGCCCCTCCAGGTCCCAGGGCACGACTCCGAAGCGGTGCACATGGACATGCTCTGGCGTTGGAAGCGGCTGGAGGTCTGAACTGGTTGGTGCCGCCAGAAATCTGTCAGGAGGGGGGGATGAAGTCAAAATCCGCTCAACATTCGTCCACGGACCCTACAGGGTCCATCCTGTGCAATGTGTCTGCCAGGATCTGCTTCCCAGTGTCTCAGGGCCAGAAGACGGCCCCCGGAGGCCGCACAAACATAAAAAACCTCCCGCACCCATAATATCGACCCTTCTCGAGATCTCAAGGCGCTACCCCGAGGCGGTGGACAGGGGCATGTTGAGGCGGTTGACTTCCATACCGTCTTGTGCGGATCGGAGCTAATCAACGCTACTCGATGGTGGGGGTCTAGGCAGGGATGAGGTTGGGGATAGGGATCAGTTCAATGATTCGAGGTCGGCCAAGAGGGGTGGCGTCCAAGAGGTGGGCGCAAATCATTTCCAGCGGCACGTGCGTGGCCCAGGGGGGGGGCAGGAACGTAATGAAACAAGACGAAGCGCAATGAAGTCCGAGGAAATATGATGGCCCACGCCATAGAATCACCCCCTCTAGTCATCACCCCCTGGCTCATGGCCGCCCCCGAATGATGCTGATGAAAAAAGAGACAGAGGGACACGCGCCGGCATGGGGGCAGCGGGTCCCGGGGGAAACGAGCCCTGACCCCGAGGGCGTCCCCATCGAACCAGCTCGCCATCCCGAGCCACTTTGCTGCGACGGCTCTCTAGGGCCCACGAGTGGGCACGAAAGGCGGCCAACCCTCCACCTCCACTTCTGGGCGTGAGTGGTAAAGCGAGCTTTCTGCTTCGGGGGCGCGCAAGCATGGATTAGCGATCCATGGATTTGGCGCGCGGTCGCCAAATCCATGGATCGGGGTATGTGCCCTCCCCAACATGCGGCCGGTGCAGCCTCGTTCGGCAGCGGAAATCCGCGGGTTCCCCATGGAAACGGGACCCTAATCCACGCCCCCATTGATCCATGTTTGCGACCGTCTGGCTCTTCCATGTGCCCCCATCCCTACCACCCTCGTCTGCGCGTGGCCCCCATTATTTGCCACGGCTGAACCTAAGACAGAAAAACAGCCTTCAAGAACATGACACTTTCCGCCGGCCGAACTGAAGAACATCCGAGGGTGCCCTCCCCCAGGATGCACAAGAACGTCCAACAAGCACGAAAAACAGTAGGGCACCCTCCCCGAACCGACCTCGATCTCATATCTCGGACCGACTGTACCCCCGTCCCAGCTGGTCTTCGGGGCATAACTCGGGCCTCCGGCGGCCGGTCGAGGCGACCCGGGCAGCCCAGGAACGCTCTCGGCGAGGTGCAGTTGCTGGAGGGCATCCCGAGGCTGGAATCCTGTCGAGACCCGACGAAAACTTCCGACAACCTTGAACCTCGAACCTCCTCAGCAACCCCCGCGCCCGTTGGGGAGCACCCCATCAAGACCCCCGACGCCACGATCTGTTCACAACGTCGCCCCCCATGAGGTCTCGACCCATTCCCTGGGACCACACTTTTTACGGCTACACGGGAGCGAAGAAAGCCTCTGAACGTTCCAGGTAGGCTGCGATGGACTAGACCACGCTGGGCGTCCCCGCCACACCGACCGACACCGAAGCCTCGGCCGACATGTCGGGAACGCCTCGAAAAAGAGTATACAGTACTCCAGTATACTACTCCGGATTTCGTAATAAAAGGGAGGGGGTCTGGACCCTCCAAGACAAGCCATTTCAGACCTCCCCCGTGGGAGAACCCTCCAAAACATCGTCCCCAGACCCCCCCAGGCTCTACAAGATAGCCTGGAAGAGACCCCCCCCGAAATGAGACCCCCCTCCCTTTATTACGAAATCTGGAGTAGTGCTCGTCGCCGCAGCGGCCCTCCCGCGGTCGAGGGGGTGCTGCCTCGCGCCTCCTGCGGCTGTGCGCGGCAACGGACCGTCCCGAGGCGCGGCGAGGGCCCCCAGAGGCCGCGAGCGGCGACAAAGCCTCCGAACATGATCTCTCCGTGGCCCGAGGGGGGGATATGTGGCTCTGCGCGTGGCCTCCCGCGCGTTGCTGTGGCGACACCTGCGGCGGGCTCCGGGCAGGAGGGCCCAGGCTCGAACCGAGAAGTCGGATCGTCCTCCTCCTCCTCCTCCTCCTCCTCCTCCTCCTCCTCCTCCTCCTCCGCTTCCTCCTCCTCCTCCTCCTCCTCCTCCTCCTCCTCTCATCATCAATCATCATCATCATCATCATCATCATCATCATCATCTTCCTCTTCACTCCTCCTCCTCCTCCTCCTCCTCCTCCTCCTCCTCCTCCTCCTCCTCCTCCTCCTCCTTCTCCTCATCCAAGACCATCGAAGCTGCTTTGCAGGGGCAGCGGGCTAAGGCTTGGCGTGAGCGGCTTCAGGCGGGCTCAGCTGGGGGCGCAGGCTTCATTCATCGTCTGTCGAAGTGGAAGCCTGGAGCGGCGCCTTCGACAGGAGCTCGAGGCCACACCAACCTCGACTTGACGGGCCCCCAGGTCGCGGTGGACGCGGAGGCGCTCGGCTGGATTGAGCTCTGGCAGTCCCACGGCGCCGAGAGCCGCGGCGAGTTGCCTAGGCCTTGGGAGGCTGCGGAATTCTCCACATGTCTGGTCCATCCCACCCCCGATGATATTCGCAGGATTTGTCGGTCGTTTCCTGAACACACGGGGGTGGGGGTGGACAACTGGCACCCGCGGTGGTGGGCCTTTCTGAGTGATGAAGGTTTGGGGTTTCTGGCCAACTTCGTGGCCTACGTTTCTCGGACGGCGCGATGGCCCATCCAGCTGCGATACGTTCTGTATTTCGTGCTTTCTAAACCCTCGGGGGGGGCACCAGGCCCATAGGCCTCCTCACCACCTCCGCCCGAGTCGTCGAGCGAGCCCACGCCGCTTTGTTCTTCGACTGGGAACGTTCGATTCGCCGTGATTACGATTTCGCCGCGCCCGAAGGGGGGTCGGAGGCGGCCATGTGGCATCAGATGCTAGTTGGCGAGGGAGTCACCCCTGGCGAAACGTCGGGTACGGCAGCCCTAGATCTGCACAAGGCCTTCGAGCATTGCAGTATGTATTTGGTGTGGGAGGAGGCCCCCAGACATGGCTTCCCTCCTCAGCTGCTCAAGTTGCTAATTTCCATCTACACCAGCGAGCGGCTGGTTTCCTTTCGAGGGGTGATCTCCCCCCACGCCACCGCCGCCTTCTCCGCCGTGGTGGCGGGCAGCACGGGAGGTACGCGCTGTCTGAAGCTGGCCATTCTGTCGGTCACCGACTCGATAGCCAGACTCCAGCCGACGCTCCATCTCAAGCTGTTCGTCGGCGACCTCAGCCTTCAGGCTCGAGGTTCGGAGGAGGATGTGCCTTTGGTTTTGCACGATGGGGTCTCTCATTATGTACAGGCCATGGAGGCCAGAGGCATCCCTGTGTCGAGAGCCAGGCCAGGGGGACCCCCAGGGAATGGGTTCATCTTGGCCGCCAGCCGTTCCCTTCGACAGCGTTTGAGGGGTTGGGCGAGGAGCCTCGGCCTCACCACTCACATTTCTAGCACGCAACTGGGGGTTGATTCTGCTGGAGGCGGCCCCCTTTCCAATCGATCTCGCTTTGGGGAACGGATGGTTTCCGCCCAGAGGAGGAAAAGAAAGCTAGCCAGTCTGGCGAAGCAGGGGGCCAAACCTTTCAAGGTCGCGCGGATGGGAGTCATGCCGTCTGTGATGTTCGGTGCTGCTTGTCTTGGGCTGAACCCCACCCGCGTCGACCAAGCGCGCGTGCTGATGGCCAGTGCCCTCGGAGGTCAGGCCATAGGCAAGGACCGCGCTTTACGCCTCTGGATTCTCAAGTGTGATCCCGTGGTGGACGCTTGTACGCGCCCCCTCTATGAATGGGCCAAGGCTGTGTGGGAAGGCCGCCATGAGGAGCTGATGCGGGCAGCGTGGCGCCGAGCGTCGGCCGCGGCGGCCCAGGCCCGCCCTGGTCGCAGCCTGTGGCGAGGTATCAGAGGACCAGCCACGGCCGTGCTCGCGACGCTCCGTAGGCTCTCGTGGTCCTGGCCATCCTTCGCGGTCTTTCGCGACCACCTGGGAAACCTTTGGGATCTTAGGCGGTTGGCCCCCACCAGTGTCAAAGCCATGATTTTTGCTAGGCTTGAGTTTCAGGAAATGTCGGCCTGGGCGGAGTCTCGAAACCTTGGGATCGCGAGGCCGTTTCTCGAGCCCATTCGGGCCCTTCTTCGCGCCAGGAAGAACCGATCGACCAACCGTCATGCTGCCATTTTGGCCTATGTGGGCCGCGATTTTTGGACACAGGACAAAGTTTGGAGCGCTGGGTACGGGCATGACAGGTCCTGCCAGCAATGTGGTGAGGCTATAGGTTGCCAGCATCGCAGATTTTCCCAGTGCCTGGCCACCAGAGCTGCCCGAGCAGCGGTGGCAGAGTGTGAACACCTCCAGGGGATCGTCCATCGCCTCGAATCCTCTTCCTCGGATTCCCTCCTCTTCTCTCGCGGGTTGGTCGAACATCCCCTGGAGGATCCGTTTTTGGACATCGTCCCAGCCATCGAGGCCTTGAGCCCTGGGTTTGAGAACCCGCCTCTCACGCAGGGATGGGCGTACACCGATGGTTCAGGTCGAGGCCCGCCAGGGCTAAAAAGCTTTGGCTGGGGATATGTTGTTTTGGATGAGCAGGGGGCCGTCGTCAGGGCCATGCACGGCTCGCTCCCAGGTTTGAGGTGTTTTAGTTCTGTGCTGCGGGCCGAAATCTTTGCCCTGGCAAAACTTATAGAGTGTGCCACTCCACCACTGAGGGTGGGCATTGACAATAGCA